TTACTAACCGTTGTAGTGATTTAGACTGTTAATTAAAATAACGATGTTATCCGGGAATCATACGTTGTTCCTGTGTAATCTTCTTCTAATAATGGGACAACACCCAATCCCGACTAACTCATTTTTAACATCAATGTTTTTCGTTGCGAAGTTTTCGATCCTAACAACAGTAACTTAATTTTCAGCATTACATACGTACCAATACTTTTTTCTATATAAAATATACAATAATAAATTTTATCAAAATTTCCTGTATTTTATTTACATATTTATTTATTTATGTATGTTACATGATATAACTAGATGATCTTTTTTAGAGTGACATCTTTTCATCTTGTAATTGTACACTGTACTTGAACTTTCGTGTATTAAGTAATCTCCAAAGGAAATATGTAAGTAGGTCAAAGCTATTTGTACATATCAGAGAAATTCGTCATTCGTTATTCGATAAAAAATATTGTGTGCCAAAAAAACATCACATTGATTACCATATGTTTTAGATAAATTAGATAGTTTTATTGGTGAGAAAGAATCTGTAACTGTTTAAATACATTTTAAGCATTAAAAGATTTAAATATTAATTCATTTTGGTTATATTTTCTTATGGACTGGAAAAATATTATTTAGAGAATAAAATTTTTTTATTAAAATGAGTTTAATATCCCACCAACAATGTTCTCCCCTTGTAGTTTTAGTTAATTTATTGATTTTAACATAGGAAAGTGACCGCATTAAAGGGTTTAGTTGCTGAGATACAGGGATTATAAAGTTGAATTCAAAAGTAAAAGTTTGCCATATTTAAACGCGTGAACCTATCAACAAGTGCCTAAAATATATGGCACTTGTATTTGGTCTGTCGCTGATATATCAATTTATTTACAGGAGGGAGAAAAAACAAATTTTTTGTAAATGATGAACTAATGAAGAAGAGAAACGAGTGGATAAGAGAGAAAACAAAAAGTGATGTTAGACAAGAAGTTGCAAAATTGAAATGGAGATTTGCTGGACACAATATAAGACAAAAAGAAGACCGATGGAACAAAATTCTTATAAGTTGGAGACCGTGGGAATATAAATAAAGCAGAGGAAGGCCCCAAATGAGATAGGCAGATGATATCAAGAAGCACGTGGGCTCTAGATGGATGACTGTAGCGACAGACAGAGAAGAATGGGAAAGGATTGGGGAGGCCTATGTCCAAAGATGGGCCGAAGAAGGCTAATTAAATAGATAGATAGAGATAGATGAACTATTTTAATGGGAATTAGGCACAATTAAAGTTTAAAATAAGTTTATCGACGTTTCGCTGTTTAAAAACTATTATAGTATCTTCAGACCCTCAAGAAACTAAGGACATCAGTACAAGTTTTACTGATACCTCAGGTGTTAGATGTTAACATTATTGTTATTATCGACCTTTATTATTTGTTGGAGCATCCCCTCTGTGCTCTGACCACTCTTGAGACAAAAACATTTCCAGGAATTCCATTCCAAGAATCAGTTCCACGTTGTTCTCCGAGTGCAGAGGTTCCCTCTCACCCGGCTCTGGAACCCAATTGAGCCATGTGTTACCTTTAGTCAAATTTAATTTAATATTGAACATCACAGTTATTTTATAACACAATGTACAACATTTCATAACTAAATGTAATTTAAAGGGTTTTTACCCTAATATTTTGGTGGCTCAGGCATTATGACCTAGCATTTTCGATTTTAATAACCTGATGATGGACTGTGTGGTCCGAAAACGTTTGTTTTATTGATGTGGCCCTTTTAAGGGTTTTTTAAATAAATATACCCATTTACAAAGATTAACCTCTTTTTGTTATACGTGATATACAGCCAGCTACAGGAATTTTTCCTTGTGGATTTTTTTTACAAAAACATTTGCCTCGAGACTTTTGAGTCCATTTTGTTTTGATAGATGTGTTCAATAGTTTTTATGCTCTTCACGGGAACTGCTCTATTATACAGAAGATGGATTACATCTTTGAGACTTTCTTTAGGTTAATCAGACACATAAATGCTGGTTATCCTCTAGTGATTTCTCAGTAATTTTCTTTATAACTAAAATTTTATCTGTACATGATATTTCAGTAGGAAAACCCTTTTGTTTTTCACAGCTTTAAACCTCTGTAGTTTTCTGGCTATTTTTATTATTTTTTTTTAATAGTAGAATTAGTTCACGAATTCTTCTGATATTTTATTGTGTCTTATCATTTTGTTAATAATTAATGTTGTTAATAAATTGTTCTGTCATTGCTGCTCCACAATATTTCCCGTTGATATTCCGTCTTTCTTTGCAGCTTTTCTCTTCTTCAGCTTTTCAAGTGTTTTTCGAACTTCCTGTGTATTTAAATTAATTCTTTCTTTTACGGTAATTTTTGGTGTCTCCGGTTCTAGCGTCATTTGTTTTTCCTCTTGATAGAGCCTTTTTAGATAGTCAATCCATGTCTCTTTTCTATGTGTTTTGGGTTCCTCTTTTGGTACCTCTGTTCTTTGACTTCTTATAAAGCGCCATATTTTCTTTTGCAGACCATAAAAATCATATTCCATTTCTTTCGAAAAACGTCGCCAGTGATCATTGGTTACTTTTCTTACAAGTGTATGTATTTCGTTTCTTATTGTCTTGTAAGTATCGCATGATTTTTGTATCTTGGTTGACATATATTTCAGGTAAGCTTTGTTCTTTATATTTTATCTTCTTCTGTACAAAACCAGTGAGTCCTTCGCCTTAGGAATGATTTATTTTTATTTATATTTATTTCACCAAGAACTTTCTTAATTGAGACTAAGATCTTAGACTATGTGCAAGTCAACAAATAAAAATGACTACCGTACAACTAAACAGTTGATTCTGCATGAAAAGCTAGTAAAAGACTAAAAAGACCTCTTATGTATTCTCCGCCTATTAAACTAGAAAATGACTGGACCAGAAGTAGTGAACAAAAAGCAGAGCCATTTGCTACATAGCTTGAAAATACATTTAAACCTAACGCATGCCAAGACGATGAAGAAAGATGGGAGAATCGTCTAACTACACCAAAAGATGTGCTTGTAGAAATAAAACAAAAATATTAATCCGAAGAAAGCTCCTGTAACTAACAAATCATTAATCTAACAAGCAATTAATGCTGCATTCAGATTAAAATATGTACCAATGATATGGAAAATGGCCGAAGTTATTATGATTCCCTAAGCATAAAACCAGTACATGAGGTTTAGTTATACAGACCGATATCTCTGCTTCACAAAAACTTTTGCTCAAGAAAATTAAAAATATTAAAGCAAAAAATCTAAATCTGACACATCAATTTCGGCTTTAGGAACAAGCACTCAACAATCGACTAGGTGCACAAAACCACAAAAACTTACGAAAAATCGCTAGAAGCAAAGAATGTCTGTTCCGCTGTCTTCCTTGATGCTGCACTTACTTTCAATAAATCTGACATAAAGGTATGATGCATAAATTAAAAACATTTTTGTTCAAACAGTATTCACAATTTTTACAGTCGTACATAAATGAACAGCATTTTAGAATTAAGCAGGAAGACTGTTTTTCAGAATTAAAAGAAATTAGAGCAGGTGTTCCACAAGGCAGTGTATTGGTCAGGTCCTAAAGCTAGAATACACTTGTGATATACCTGTACTAGAAGACAATTTTGATGATGATACGGCTATCCAAGCAGTAGGGACGTTTCGTGAAGAGGCAACCAACAATGTCCAAATAGCAGTTAACCAAATCCATAAATGCTCAAAAAAATAGAGAATCAGGTTAAATGAAGCTTAACATGTTCATGTTGAACTGAAGAACTAAATATAAAGTATAAAAAATGTATAACCTATTCGAAGGAAACTTCACTCTGTCGATCCGTAATAAGTTACTACTTTACAAACAAATATTGAAACCTATATGAACTTATGGATGCTCACTATAAGGGTGTACTAGACTAAGCAAAAATAACAATAACACAAAGATTACAAAACAAGATACTGAAAAACTTTATAGATGCTCCTTGCTACTTAGCTAACAGTGACCTCCATAAGGACCTAGGAATGGAAACTGGATATAATCATCAATGAGGTGACAGGAAGTCATGGGTAACGACTTCATAGATACGAGAATATTGGGCAATCCAGCTCCTTGATACTACTGAGCAACCTAGAGAATTGAAGAGTTTAAAGCCTTTTGAACTAGTTTGGGTGGTAGTAAAAATCAGAGCATAGTACTTGTGTGCGTATGCATGTAAGAATAGTGCAATATACTATTAGTTTAGATAAGAGACGCTATGGGGTAAGCTCTTAATTTGAAAGAACAGTAGTAATTTAGGTTAAATTGAAATTGAAATCATCATCATTCAGCCCATACTCGTCCACTGCTGAACATAGGCCTCCCGTAGTTCACCCCACAAATTTCTGTCCTGAGCCGCCTGCATCCAATTTTGATGTGTCCGTTTCAGGTCATCCGTCCATCTTGTTGGTGGTCGTCCTCTATTCCTAAAGGCATCTTGTCGGGGTCTCCACTCAAGAATGCGTTTTGTCCATCTGCCGTCCTTCGTTCTCGCGACGTGCCCTGTCCAGTTCCATTTTAATTGAAATCATCGTAGTGATAATTATAGAAAAAAAAATATTATGAAAACACGATATATACTAGGAAGGCTAGCAATGGACAGAAAATTTTTGTATAATTTAAGTTACGTAATTTTTATGCACGGTATAGATTATCGCGATTTATTTATCTCAACTCTCCAGAACCTACATATTCAATAAATGAAAAAAATATACATAGTAAAAGTGTGCTTTCACAGATATTTGAGAATGCCCTTTGTGGCGTTTGACTGAACACTTTGACAAATATGCTATGTGTTACGATCGCTTCTCGCTCAAAGATAAACGAACCTAAGCGCCAAATTTCCATTCATAAAACATCAAACCAAATCATTCCCTTTGAAGTAACTTTTACAGTAATATATTTTTTAATGAACTTTTCTCTTTGTTGCAGCACGCTAATGCCGTGAAGGCCCAAGCTCAAGAATATGCGGAGAGAAAACAAGCCAAGAAAATAATGACGAGATCCGTAACCAGCTCGTTGGCAGTCGCCCAGGCGCTTGTCCAGATTGCCGATTTCAAGTACTTCAATACGGCCAAACCAGGCACGTTTTTCTCCAGGTAAGCCGTTAAAGTAGGTTAATAGGGTGCCACTTGAATAAACTGATGAGTTTTCGTTGCAAGATCAGACAGTAATTTAGAGGATTCTCCAGACTGTAGACAGCAATAACTAGAGCGATTTAAGGGCACCATATATACGGAGTTTAAAAAGTTCTTGCAATTTTAAATGCCAACAAAATATTTGAAAAATTATTCTGACATTATTTCCTTCTAGAATCTCTTTTATCTATAATAAAAGAAGATTTGAAATTATTAAAGAAATATAATATACATTAAATAAATTTCTGAAAAAAAAAACAAAACATTAAATAACATCGATAAGTACAACCAATTTATGAAATATCTTTTATATAAAACTAAACTTAAATAAACAAATTACCTTAATACTAACAATCAGAACAAGAAATTGAAAGGACTTCAGTTATAGAAAAATGCGCAGCGTCATGAAAAAGTTGTTTGAACTTTTACTAGTTCAACTCCAAAGTCCAGCGTCCACAGCGCAACTCTTTTAATGTTACGGTCTGAAACCGATTGCGACAAAACTGTTTTGTGAGCTTTGCAATGTAAAAGCATGGGGATTCACCCACGAGGCAATCCAACGGTAACTGATTTCTAATAAGTCTAAAACCGATATCCCCACCTATCACCCGTGGTTGCAGTAGCGTTGCAATTTTTTGTAACACGTTTAGGGACACGTTGTTGCTTTCTAAACAGACGATGACCTTTATATAACATATAAGTTATACAAAGGTCGGTCAGATAGCCAAGCGGGCTAGGCGGCCGACTCTCATTCGCTTCACTGTCGAATGTCACACCACAGCTCGGTGTACAGAAAAATAAAAAGACTAACACAGCAGTTTAAAATTCTAGATAAATCTGCGGTTTAGACTAAAATATACTGGTGTCTGATCGATAAGGGCTTGCGCCTCGGTGATACTCCTCCATAGATCCCTACCGGAAGAGCGTGCCGCCTAAATACCGTTATATATATATATATATATATAAAGCCAACTGAATGGGAGGATGAATATATATGTTCAATCTAGAACTCGCTGGTTTTTTTCCTTTTTTTCCTTTCTTATTGCGTATGTGTATTATTATAGAAAATAAAAGCAAGAGGACCATATAAAACTTTCCAGAACCCTAAAAATACAGCTAATTACTACATAAATGTCAATGTAACGCAAATAGGATGATTTTGTATATAGATAAATAATATTCATTAAATTATAAACTATATATTGATACAAATTCAAATGGTAAAACAAAACTACAATAATTGTTATATAATATAACGTAAAATTTTCTATTGAAAGTTATAGGTAAATATTCCAAATAATGGTTAAAATGTCTAAAGAAAAACTTTAGAGTTGAATGTCTTGAACGTCTTGAAGAATTCTAGAAAGTTGAAGCTCCCTTTGATTGACTCCCATCTTGCTCTTCTGAAGATCATAATTAACATTATCAACGTGGATTCTGACGGTTTTGGTAAAGATCTTTGTAGATGATGGGCCGAATGAAAACCGGCGTTATCTAAAAGTCAGGAAGTTAGCCATTCAACACATAAAAAAATACAATCTGAATACCCTGTTAATAGCGTCTAATGCTCCTAGGCGAAGCACATACAGCCGAGTTGAGCGACGAATGGCCCATTCCAACAAACGACTATCACGCGTGAATAATTTGAAAAACACAGTTTTTAGCATGCTGGGAAGACTTGCCAAAGTCTGGCTTTTCTGTCTTTCCAGATTTCCTGCCGTCACCCTGCATAATCCTTCAAACCCAAACAAGCTCGTGGTACCTAGTCAGTTAGATAAAGGCTCATGCGAGTTTTTACTAATTCTTGTGAGGTTGTCCATTGATCTATCTCCTTCACTAGAAGGTTTTAAGCACATGCCTTGTGATTTCTTCTATACACCAGTACAATGCGACCCCAAGAACAGAATATGTGCAGCATGTGGGATCTATTTAATATCCAACAACAGTGTACCTACATATGCACAGTCGTTATGTGCATAGCAAGATTGCATAAGAACGTCGTGACAGTAGAGTAATTGTTGCTAAAAGGACAAATGAGCTTGTATACATTGTGAGCTGCAGTAAAAATCGTCTCTTAATGCCGATTTACTCGATGAAGATAAGGTTTATGCAGGTGGTTTAAAAATTATAGAACTATGTTCGTTTGCACTCCAGATGCCAGCGATGAAAGAATCTGAGTGGCTAACAAGCCAACGGATAGAGGATTAGTAACACCAATTTTTGCAATAAAAACAAAAGTTTAAAAGTTTTGATTCGAAATACGAATAATATAGGCAACAAAAATATGTACTTCTGAATAAAAGGGAAATACAAGTAAGAGTAAATGGATACACCTCTACCACTAGAATACTCGACAACGGTGTTCCACAAGGTTCTATTTTAAGCCCAACTTTATTTTTAATTGCATTTAACGATGTAATAAATACAATTAAGCCTCCTATAAAAGCAAACTTATACGCTGACGATTTAGTTGTGTATATTAAATGCAAAAATATTACATCTGGGGCTAAAATACTACAGAACCTTCTATACAAAATCGAAGAATGGTCTTCCAAAACAGGCTTCCTCTTTTCAACTAATAAGGCACATTACACAGTTTTCAGCAAACGCAAGAATACCATTCCTGTTTCGCTAATATTTAACGGTCAAAATATATCTCATTCAGAGGAATCGAATTTTTTGAGCCTAACGTTTGATTACAAATTAAACTGGAAAACACATATTACGACTTTACAACTAACTTGTCAAAATAGAATAAACTTGCTGAAAATTCTATCCAATAATATATGGGGAGCTGATCTAGTACTCTGCTTAACCACTACAAATCAATTATTCGCAGTAAACTAGACTACGGTGCAATATGCTACGATACAGCAAATAAAACGTTCCTAAAAAACCTTAACACAATTCAAACAACAGCTCTAAGATTAGCCGTCGGTGCCTCCACAGCTTACAAGTAATATCAAGAGAACCTCCTCTACATCAAGGACGACATCTACTTAGTTTAAATTATGCAGCAAGAATATCTTCCAACAAAAAGCACCCATAATATTCTGAGATTCAATTGCAATGAATTTAAATTATCCATAACCACAAAATTAGACTTCCCTCCATGGCTTACCCCCTTACCTATCACCGATTTAACTTTAACACAGTACCCAAAAAATACCATAAATCCTAACCTTATCACTAATGCATTCAAAGAAATTATGGAGAAGTATCCAAATCACCACATAATATACACAGATGCATCAAAAACTGAAAGTGGCCATGCTGCAGCCTTCACAAATAAAAATTAGAAATATGCCATTAGAAATATGCCAAATTTCACAGCACTACAGCATTTACACCTGGGAAACCACAGCGATATTAGAAGCTATCAAAAACTGCTCTTTAACGACTGAAAATAATATTTTAATCATCACAGATTCACTCAGCGCATTGGCATTAAAGGCAACGAGGAAGTTGATCAATTGGCATTCAAATCCATCAAAAATGAAAATGTTCTACAAATTACTAAATATCCCCACACCGACCATAAACGACAGTCCATGAATCATATAATAAATTTATGGCAAGCAACCTGGTATGCAAAAGACTGTAAATTGAAAACAATAAAGCCTCGAGTAGACGCCAGCCTATCACAAATAGGAAAAAGAATCGAACAAGTAATCGTAAATCGTCTTCGAATCGGCCACACAATACTAACACACCAACACCTTCTAAATAAAGAACCAGCTCCGATTTGTACCTACTGCTCTACTCAACTCACCGTGAAGCACCTGATAGTCGACTGTCCGCAGTTCCAACCTCAGAGAACACGCCGAAGAATTAGTGGAAACCTGAAAAGTGCGCTTAAGATAAATATCTCGGATTTATTGCAGTTTCTAAAAGACATAAACATTTATAATAAACTTTAATTTATCAAACTGCACTACTGTGTATGTACCCCCACTAATAACCCTTGGTAGTTGATGTGGATTTTCTATGTTTAAATTTAAAATATATATATATATATATATATATATATATATATATATATATATGTATATATATATATATATATATGTACAAAACAAAAAACAAAGATCTAAACATTACTACTGAGAGAACCAAAATCCTTTAATCCCAAATAAAAATAGGTAAATTCGTGAGAAGAACGATAAGAGATGAGTCAAAAATGTATGTAAGGATGGGGCCAAGCAGGAAAAACAAACAAATTGTAAGATTAGCAGTCAAAGTTTGATTCAAGAACAACGACTGCAATTTTTTGGTTATGTCAGATGTACAGATAAAAGCTATGTGGGATGAAGGATAGAGCTGTTAGAAGTTGATGGAAAAATAGGTAGAGGAAAACCAAGAAGAAGATGGAAGGACTGTGGGCAAGAGGACTTAAGAGAGAAAGGTTTAGGTAAAGAAGACCCGATGGACAGAAATAAGTTGCGATGAAGAATAAGGAACAGCGACCCCTGAAAAGAAAAAAGCTGACGAAGAAGAAGAAGTCAAGTTTATTACTGTGAGTTAGACTTTTTTTTTATTTATTATTACCACAAATGTGATTAAAACAATCATCATCAATGGTGCTACAGCCATATGAAAGAGCCTCGACCTTCCCAAGTCTATTACGCCAGGCAGTCCTATCCATTGCCAACCGTTGCCAGTTTGCTGCGCCTATCTTTCTACCATCCTCATCTACACCATCCTTCCATCTGAGTTTTGGCCTACCCCTTTTTCTGCTTCCCACGGGTTGTGACATAAGGATTCTTCTAGGAGGGTTGTTCTGCTGTGATCTAGCTAGATGTCCTGCCCATCTTAATCTTCCTATTCTTATAAGAGATACTACGTCTTTACCACCAAATATTTGTTTATATCTGTGGTATACCTCGTAGTTGTATCTCCTCCTCCAAACACCATTTTCACAGATGCCACCAAATATTCCTCTCAGGATCCTTCATTCAAAT